GTGACGGTGGGGTTATCGTATGGGCAGGCATAAACTACGGACAACGAACACAATTGCATTTTATCGACGGCAATTTGAATGTACAGAGATACCGTGATGAGATCCTGAGGCGATCCTGAGGCCCATTCATCCACAACCGTCACCTCAAGTTTCAGCATGATAATGTCGCAAGGATCTTTACACAATTCCTGGAAGCTGAAAATGTCCCAGTTCTTCCATGGCCTGCAAACTCACCAGACATGTCACCCATTAAGCATGTTTGGGATGCTCTGGATCGACGTGTACGACAGCATGTTCCAGTTCCTGCCAAAATCCAACAACTTGAATAGTAGTGGGACAACATTCCGCAGGCCACAATCAACAGCCTGATCAACTCTATGAGAAGGAGATGTGTCACGCTGCATGAGGCAAATGGTGGTCACACCAGATACTGACTGGTTTTCTGATCCACACCCCCACTTAAAAAAAAGGCACACTATATATACAAAAGTATGTGGATATCCCTTCAAGTTAGTGGATTTGGCTATTTCAGCTACACCCATTGCTGACAGGTGTATAAAATTGAGCACACATCCATGCAATCTCCATACACAAACATTGGCAGTAGAATGGCCTTACTGAAGAGCTCAGTGACTTTCAACATGGCACCGTCATAGGATGCCACCTTTCCAACAAGTCAGTTCGTCAAATTTCCGCCCTGCTACAGCTGCCCCGGTCAACTGTAAGTGCTGTTATTGTGAAGTGGAAATGTCTAGGAGCAACAACGGCTCAACCAAGAAATGGAAGGCCACACAAGCTCACAGAACGGGACTGGCGAGTACTGAAGCGCGTTCCACGTAAAATGTGTCTGTCCTCGGTTGAAACACTCACTACCAAGTTCCAAACTGCCTCTGGAAGACACTTCAGCACAATAACTGTTCGTTGAGAGCTCCATGAAATGGGTTTCCATGGCCGAGCAGCCACACACAAGCCTAAGATCAGCATTCGCAATGCTAAGCATCGGCTGGAGTGGTGTTAAGCTCGCCGCCATTGGACTCTGGAGAAGTGGAAACGCCTTCTCTGGAGTCATGAATCACGCTTCACCATCTGGCAGTCCGACGGACGAATCTGGGTTCGGCAGATGCCAGGAGAACGCTACCTGCCCGAATGCATAGTGCAAACTGTAAAGTTTGGTGGAGGAGGAATAATGTTCTGGGGCTGTTTTTCATGGTTCGGGCTAGGTCCCTTAGTTCCAGTGAAGGGAAATCTTAATGCTACAGCATACAATGACATTCCTAACAATTCTGTGCTTCCAACTTTGTGGCAACAGTTTGGGGAAGGCCCTTTCCTGTTTCAGCATGACAATGCCCCCGTGCACAAAATGAGGTCCATGCAGAAATGGTTTGTTGAGATTGGTGTGGAAGGACTTGACTGGCCTGCACAGAGCCCTGACCTCAACCCCATCGAACACCTTTGGGATGAATTGGAATGCCGACTGCGAGCCAGGCCTAATCGCCCAACATCAGTGCCCGACCTCACTAATACTCTTGTGGCTGAATGGAAGCAAGTCCCCGCAGCAATGTTCCAACATCTAGTGGAAAGCCTTCCCAGAAGAGTGGAGGCTGTTATAGCAGCAAAGGGGGTTCAATTCCATATTAATGCCCCTGATTCTGGAATGAGATGTTCAACGAGCAGGTGTCCACATACATTTGGTCACGTAGTGTATCTGTGACCAACAGATGCATATCTGTATTTCCAGTCATGTGAAATCCATAGATTAGGGCCTAATTTATTTATTTAAATTGACTGATTTCCTTATATGACCTATAACTCAGTAAAATCTTGGAAATTGTTGCATGTTGCGTTTATACATTTGTTTAGTATATTTATACACATATCAGTTATGCACGCTAACAACCAGCATAGGTAACAAGCTACCTAGCTAACTAGCTAGCTCACAAGACTAGCCAAGTTAGCTGCGTTGTTCCTTGCATGCGATTGGCTGTAGTCTTTGGGGCCTGGGAGACAAGCTGCCTGTCAGGCATCGTTCAGGGCTCCTTGATGAAGTGGTTCTCGTGCATCTGAGCAAATTAATAGATGATGCGTGGTACTTTTGATTATCGTGATCTCGACAAAACAACTTTTGTTATGTAGTGGCCACAAGAAAAGTATCTTGTGATCTCAACAAAACAACTGTTGAGATAAATAAGTCGTGATCTCGACATAACAAGGGATTTTATTTATTTATTCATATGTCCTGTCTGGACTTCCGTAGATATTCAAAATGAGGTAGATTGTTCTTCATTTACCTCCCCATTGCAGAAACAGTAGATGAATGCCACAAAGAATCCCTGAAAGGATAAAAGGGGAAAAGCCCAAGTTAGATAAAGGAAATACATTTAGTGCTGTTCGACATTTACTAACAGCACTTAAGACAGATTTTTAGGACATAACATAAATCTGTCATCAATAGTCAATAGTCATCAACAGTCAATAGACAATAGCCTGCATAAAACTGGCAGATTAGCCTTTTTTCGTCATGAATCTTGTTCTGGAGGCAGCTCTGCACAGTGGTTACTAGCTGACACAGCCACAAAAAAAAATCACCTCAACCCTAACTTTAACTACACTGCTAACCATAATGCCTAACCCTAACCTTAAATGAAGACCAAAAAGCAAATGTTGGTTTTGATGAATCTTTACAATATAGCCAATTGTTACTTTTCAGCTGGCCTATCTAAGGGGAAATCACTCAGTTTTGCCTCAAGGACAAGACTCATGACAATAAACGTCAACTTGCGGTCATTACTATTTTTAAAATATTTTGTAAAATATTTTTTTATTTGGGGGGGGGGGGGGTAGATCAGCTTTAATATTGCAGAGAGATTGTAACTTCCATCAATTTGCCCTTTGGGGTGTCTGACCTGGGAAGAGTTGAAGAACATCTCGTAGTGCATCTGCACCTGCCACAGCAGGCCCGTAACCTCAGTGTAGGGTAGAGCCATAAACACCATGTAGTGCACTCCAAACAAGGGCATCAGGACAAGGGTGGATTTCAACAGCTTCCTGTGGACAGTAACGGACAAAATTGTACAGATAATATTATATCAGTGTAATATACTATTTATCTACAGTACCAGTCAAAACTTTGGACACACCTACTCATTCAAGGGTTTTTCTTTATTTTCACAATTTTTTACATTGTAGAATAATAGTGAAGACATCAAAACTATGAAATAACACATATGGAATCATGTAGTAAACAAAAAAGTGTTAAACAAATCAAAATATATTTGAGATTTGAGATTCTTCAAATAGCCACACTTTGCCTTGATGACAGCTTTGCAAACTCTTGGCGTTCTCTCAACCAGCTTCATGAGGTAGTCACCTGGAATGCATTTCAATTAACAGGTGTGCCTTCTTAAAAGTTAATTTGTGGAATTTCTTCTTAATGTGTTTGAGCCAATCAGTTGTGTTGTGACAAGGTAGGGTTGGTATACAGAAGATAGCCCCATTTAGTAAAAGACCAAGTCCATCTTATGGCAAGAACAGCTCAAATAAGCAAAGACAAATGACAGTCCATCGTTACTTTAAGACATGAAGGTCAGTCAATACGGGAAATGTCAAGAACTTTGAAAGTTTCTTCAAGTGCAGTCACAAAAACCATCAAGCGCTATGATGAAACTGGCTCTCATGTGGACCGCCACAGGAATGGAAGACCCAGAGTTACCTCTGCTGCAGAGGATAAGTTCATTCTAGTTACCAGCCTCAGAAATTGCAGACCAAATTAATACTTCACAGAGTTCAAGTAACAGACATATCTCAACATCAACTGTTCAGAGGAGACTGTGTGAATCAGGCCTTCATGGTCGAAAGGCTGCAAAGAAACCACTACTGAAGGACATCATTAAGCAATGGACATTAGAACATTGGAAATTTGTCCTTTGCTCTGGATTCCAAAATTGAGATTTTTGGTTCCAACCGCCGCGTCTTTGTGAGACACGGTGTGGGTGAACGGATGATCTCCGCATGTGTATTTCCCACTGTAAAGCATGGAGGAGGAGGTGTTATGGTGTGGGGGTGCTTTGCTGGTGACACTGTCTGTGATTTATTTCGAATTCAAGGCACACTTAACCAGCATGGCTACCACAGCATTCTGCAGCGATACGCCATCCCATCTGGTTTGGGCTTAGTGGGACTATCATTTGTTTTTCAACAGGACAATGACCCAACACACCTCCACGATGTGTAAGGGCTATTTTACCAAGAAGAAAAGTGATGGAGTGCTGCATCAGTGATGGCCTCCACAATTCCCCCACCTCAACCCAATTGAGATGGTTTGGGATGAGTTGGACAGCAGAGTGAAGGAAAAGCATCCAACAAGTGCTCAGCATATGTGGGAACTCCTTCAAGACTGTTGGAAAAGCATTCCAGGTGAAGCTGGTTGAGAGAATGCCAAGAGTGTGCAAAGCTGTCATCAAGGCAAAGGGTGGCTATTTGAAGAATCTCAAAATATAAAATATATTTTGATTTGTTTAACACTTTATTGGTTACTACATGATTCCATGTGTTATTTCATCGTTTTGATGTCTTCACTATTATTCTACAAGGTAGAAAATAGTAAAAATAAAGAAAAACCCATTGAATAAATGGGTGTGAACAAACCTTTGACTGGTACTGTATGTTTGAATAAAGTTGCCTTGATTTAGAGAAACTATGTAAGACAACGTAGGATTTATTATCAAGATACAGCCAATGTATTCCCATAACATGCACAGTGATTTCTGATTTCAAATGATATTTTCAAAACACAAATTTACAGTCACATGTTTAGCAATCAGGAAAAACTAGCCTAGGCTCTATCACAAATGAAGAAATGGTGGGTTGTATCATGTGCATAGAGCATGTATCCATTAATTTATCCATGCTATTACTAGTACTGTTTATTACAAGTGCATTACTAGTTTATTACTAATCTATTGCCAGTCTTTTACTGTTTATTGTTAGTCTAATACAGTCCCTCACCTGTACTGCTGACGGGGGTCCAGTTTGCCTGTGTTGGTCTCCCATAGCTTAGAGGCCAACACTCGTATGATGTTGAGGAACAGGAAGAAGTTCACCTGTAGGAAGAGTTAGAAATGCATGTAAGGTGTCCATATTAAGACAGCCTCAGAGTCACAAGGAGTTGGTGTAACAGTCACTCTGACTTCGGACACCGTATTCATGCTCTTAAGTTGAAGATCAGTTGAAAGCGGAGACATCCAATAAATAGTACATTTCAGCTTTTGAGCTTATTTGGATTGTGTCAAATAAGATGTTTGATGTGAAATCACGGATGCTATCCAACAATAAAAAAGGGACATGAGACAAATGCTTGTGAAGTGCATGAGTCAAGGTGAAAAGGAAATATTTACTTACTACAATGGCTGCAAGAATCGGGACTTGATAGATCCACTTCAGATTTCCCGCACTGATGTCCCAGCACCTGCAAATGGGGAGAACACACTGCGATTGTGTGTTGTGTGTAGAATAGCTAGTGTTAAGTGTTAAGTGTGATTATTCACTTCAATGTGATGTACACACAATTTTGTATAAAGGGACTCACTGAGTGTCCGCCAGTGATGCTCGCGCACTGACCCAAATGGACACAAACACTGCAGGGACACCTATGAGAGAGGGAGGGAAAGAGGTAGGAGGGTGAAATAGATTAATGTTGAATTCCCGTCTGAGCTATCTAACATAGCCACAACAAAGGTCTTTCAAGGTGGTCTTTTCCAGTGGTGGACAAAGTACCCAATTGTCATACTTGAGTAAAAGTAAAGATACCTTAATAGAAAATGACTCAAGTAAAAGTGAAAGTCACCCAGTAAAATCCTACTTGAGTAAAAGTCTAAAAGTATTTGGTTTTAAATATACTGAAGTATTAAAAGTAAATGGAATTGATCAAATAATAATAATCTGATCTCGCAACGCTTGGAGGAGTGTTTAAAGGGGCAATCTGTGACTGCTTTTAAACCCCTTTTTGGACTTTTAGATTAATAATACAGTGAGGGAAAAAAGTATTTGATCCCCTGCTGATTTTGTACGTTTGCCCACTGACAAAGACATGATCAGTCTATAATTTTAATGGTAGGTTTATTTGAACAGTGAGAGACAGAATAACAACAAAAATATCCAGAAAAACGCATGTCAAAAATGTTATAAATTGATTTACATTTTAATGAGGGAAATAAGTATTTGACCCCTCTGCAAAACATGACTTAGCACTTGGTGGCAAAACCCTTGTTGGCAATCACAGAGGTCAGACGTTTCTTGTAGTTGGCCACCAGGTTTGCACACATCTCAGGAGGGATTTTGTCCCACTCCTCTTTGCAGATCTTCTCCAAGTCATTAAGGTTTCGAGGCTGACGTTTGGCAACTCGAACCTTCAGCTCCCTCCACAGATTATCTATGGGATTAAGGTCTGGAGACTGGCTAGGCCACTCCAGGACCTTAATGTGCTTCTTCTTGAGCCACTCCTTTGTTGCCTTGGCCATGTGTTTTGGGTCATTGTCATGCTGGAATACTCATCCACGACCCATTTTCAATGCCCTGGCTGAGGGAAGGAGGTTCTCACCCAAGATTTGACGGTACATGGCCCCGTCCATCGTTCCTTTGATGCGGTGAAGTTGTCCTGTCCCCTTAGCAGAAAAACACCCCCAAAGCATAATGTTTCCACCTCCATGTTTGACGGTGGGGATGGTGTTCTTGGGGTCATAGGCAGCATTCCTCCTCCTCCAAACACGGCAAGTTGAGTTGATGCCAAAGAGCTCGATTTTGGTCTCATTTGACCACAACACTTTCACCCAGTTCTCCTCTGAATCATTCAGATGTTCATTGGCAAACTTCAGATGGGCCTGTATATGTGCTTTCTTGAGCAGGGGGAACTTGCGGGCGCTGCAGGATTTCAGTCCTTTACAGCGTAGTGTGTTACCAATAGTTTTCTTGGTGACTATGGTTCCAGCTGCCTACAGATCATTGACAAGATCCTCCCGTGTAGTTCTGGGCTGATTCCTCACCGTTCTCACGATCATTGCAACTCCACGAGGTGAGATCTTGCATGGAGCCCCAGGCCAAGGGAGGTTGACAGTTATTTTGTGTTTCTTCCATTTGTGAATAATCGTTGTCACCTTCTCACCAAGCTGCTTGGCGATGGTCTTGTAGCCCATTCCAGCCTTGTGTAGGTCTACAATCTTGTCCCTGACATCCTTGGAGAGCTCTTTGGTCTTGGCCATGGTGGAGAGTTTGGAATCTGATTGATTGATTGCTTCTGTGGACAGGTGTTTTTTATACAGGTAACAAACTGAGATTAGGAGCACTTCCTTTAAGAGTGTGCTCCTAATCTCAGCTCGTTACCTGTATAAAAGACACCTGGGAGCCAGAAATCTTTCTGATTGAGAGGGGGTCAAATTCTTATTTCCCTCATTAAAATGCAAATCAATTTATAACATTTTTGACATACGTTCTTCTGGATTTTTGTTGTTGTTATTCTGTCTCTCACTGTTCAAATAAACCTACCATTAAAATTATAGACTGATCATTTCTTTGTCAGTGGGCAAACGTACAAAATCAGCAGGGGATCAAATACTTTTTTACCTCACTGTATATACCCATTGATTCTTGAAGAATATCACTTATGAATGCCTCATGAGCTTTGTTCAACTGTCATTCCCCATCCGAACCCAACATAAGCTTTTTTTACTGCATTTTTTGTAAACAATGTAAATGTAAACAAACACTGTATAGCCTCAAAACAAATGGTGAAATGGTTCTACCTGGAACCAGAAAGTGTTCTCCTGCAGGGAGTGTAGAAAGACTCACCCCAGCCGATGATGGTGAGTGCCCACAGGTAGTTCTTGTCTGAGAGGAAGGCCATAAAGATGAGGCTGTGCAGGTACAGCCCCTCCACCAGGATCCAGTAGTGATTGGTCGCCAGGAAATACAGGAAGAGAGTAACGGCCACCTTACAGCCCACCTATAGGGCACCAGAGAGAAGAGAGGTGTCATGTTCATATCGTTAATAAGGGACATGGGACATTCAACATATCATCATCAGATAATGGTTCCAATGGATCAATGGGATAGAGCAGGAGGGGCAAGCTACGGTTTCAATTCGTAGCTTAAACTAGATATAAAGTATGTAGAAATTATAATGGACCTAAACTACCAGTCAAAAGTTTGGACACACCTACTCATTCAAGGATATGTCTTTATTTTTTTACATCGTAGAATAATAGTGAAGATATCAAAACTATGAAATAACACATATGGAATCATGAAGTAACCAAAAAAGTGTTAAACAAATCAAAATATATTTTAGATTTGAGATTCTTCAAATAGCCACCCTTTGCCTTGATGACAGTTTTGCACACTCTCGCGTCCTCCTGCCACATCCGACGAGCGTCAGAGCCGGGGTAGTAGGATTCAATCTTAGTCATGTATTGACGCTTTGCCTGTTTGATGGTTCAACTGAGGGCATTGCGGGATTTCTTATAAGCGTCCGGATTAGTGTCCCGCTCCTTGAAAGCGGCAGCTCTAGCCTTTAGCTCGGTGCGGGTTTTGCCTGTAATCCATGGCTTCTGGTTGAGATATGTATGTACAGTCACTGTGGGGACGACGTCATCAATGCACTTATTGATGAAGCCGGTGACTGATGAATGCCATTGGATGAATCGCGGAACATATTCCAGTCTGTGCTAGCAAAACAGTCCTGTAGCGTAGCATCCGCGTCATCTGACCACTTCCGTATTGAGCGAGTCACTAGTACTTCAGGAGGATAGAATTATGGTACGATTTTCCAAATGGAGGGCAAGGGCGAGTTTTGTATGCGTCTCTGTGTGTGGCGTAAAGGTGGTCTATGGTGATTCAAGAGGGACAAACAACAATAGCAAACATAACACACCCACATCGAACCACACCCCCAAGATGCAAATATTGTTTTTCTTAATGAGCAGCAGGAAAAGCCCAAGCAAAATCGTTGAGTTCAGCCACCCTTTAAGAGAAATTATATGTAGCTTCCTCCTATATGTGCAGGTGTGGGGGTACTACTTATATCTGACTGTTTACTGTTGTTTGTTTCCTGTTGTGTTTTTCGATGTATGTGTGAGCTGTGGGAAGATGTTCCTCGTGTAGGACAATAAACTTCAATCTAATCTAATCTTAGTCAGTAAAGAAGTGCACAGTACCATATGGGGTCTCTCTGCCAAGTCCTCCGCTTCAGTCTTTCCGTCGTCAGACATGGCGTAGAGGACAGCATCCTTCACAAAGATACTGATGGCCCGACACACAAAGGAGGTGAATAGGTGAATGTGGATGTAGTTCCGTGTGCAGTGGAGACGCCTGGAGGGAAGAGAGAGAGCGAGAGATAGTCATGTTTGCAATGCTTCTTTCACAAATACAACAACAGCTCAAAGATGCCCCAATACCCAGAACCTTTTGTCATAGTAACCATCCAGAACATGTGAAAAAAAAGACATAAATAATCCTCCAAACCCGCCCACTGAAGACACACCAGATCCCAGCCGTCTGATAACATTGTTGAGAACTGATTCCAGTGCAGATTACAATAGGTCCAGAGACCCCAACAGCTACCTATGAGGCCTACACTTGCCACATGCTCATCACATTAATAACAGATAGGTATCATAGTGTGCCTTGGGCCTGGTCTCCTGTACTTAACCCTGGGAGTGTGACAGACCATTGATAGGATCAAAGATTTATTGGAAATTGGAATCCGGGTTAATATGGTTCAGCTAGGGTCTATCCTGGGTTTTAACTCAGGGCTTTTTCAATCTAAAGATCACATTAAAAGCAATGATTTAGTTGGCTAACAGCATATACATTTTTGGTGTACAGTGAAATTGCCCCTAGACACTGATCTTAGGTCAGTTTTGAATTTCCTCCACGAAATGGGTAGTATACACCCACAACCCGTATACGGGCTGAAAATGGCAGATGTGGTCACTGATAAGCACCTAAATTGGAACGCAGTGGCTGTACAGTAACATGCTATACATGACAGAGCTCAGTGTCTCTGCTTTATAGCACTGTTTGGGATATATACTTTTTTGTTGTCTGAGAGAGGGGAATGCTGTAAATCAAGACCAAAGAGCTCTCCAAGGATGTCAGGGACAAGATTGTAGACCTACACAAGGCGATTATTCACAAATGGAAGAAACACAAAAGAACTGTCAATCTCCCTCGGCCTGGGGCTCCATGCAAGATCTCACCTCGTGGAGTTGCAATGATCATGAGAACGGTAAGGAATCAGCCCAGAACTACACAGTAGGATCTTGTCAATGATCTCAAGGCAGCTGGGACCATAGTCACCAAGAAAACAATTGGTAACACACTACGCTGTAAAGGACTGAAATCCTGCAGCACCCACTGCTTCCCCTTGCTCAAGAAAGCACATATACAGGCCCGTCTGAAGTTTGCCAATGAACATCTGAATGATTCAGAGGAGAACTGGGTGAAAGTGTTGTGGTCAGATGAGACCAAAATCGAGCACTTTGGCATCAACTCAACTCGCCGTGTTTGGAGGAGGAGGAATGCTGCCTATGACCCCAAGAACACCATCCCCACCGTCAAACATGGAGGTGGAAACATTATGCTTTGGGGGTGTTTTTCTGCTAAGGGGCCAGGACAACTTCACCGCATCAAAGGGACGATGGACGGGGCCATGTACCGTCAAATGTTGGGTGAGAACCTCCTTCCCTCAGCCAGGGCATTGAAAATGGGTCGTGGATGGGTATTCCAGCATGACAATGACCCAAAACACACGGCCAAGGCAACAAAGGAGTGGCTCAAGAAGAAGCACATTAAGGTCCTGGAGTGGCCTAGCCAGTCTCCAGACCTTAATCCCATAGAAAATCTGTGGAGGGAGCTGAAGGTTCGAGTTGCCAAACGTCAGCCTCGAAACCTTCATGACTTGGAGAAGATCTGCAAGTGAGTGGGACAAAATCCCTCCTGAGATGTGTGCAAACCTGGTGGCCAACTACAAGAAACGTCTGACCTCTGTGATTGCCAACAAGGGTTTTGCCACCAAGTACTAAGTCATGTTTTGCAGAGGGGTCAAATACTTATTTCCCTCATTAAAATGCAAATCAATTTATAACATTTTTGACATGCGTTTTTCTGGATTTTTTTGTTGTTATTCTGTCTCTCACTGTTCAAATAAACCTACCATTAAAATTATAGACTGATCATGTCTTTGTCAGGGGGCAAACTTACAAAATCAGCAGGGGATCAAATACTTTTTTCCCTCACTGTATATGTGCCCTTTGTTCCCCATTGTCCTTGTCGATTATTGTACCTGTACTCTGTTGTATCGGCTTTCGTGCTACGTGTTACTGTACATTGTATTACGGTTTACATACTGTGTAATTGTGCACTTGTTATTACGGGTCTCATCCCGTGTATTATTTAGAGGTTTACAACTCGCTCTTTTGTTTGGGTTACATCCCTGTGTTTTATATATATATATATATACACACACATGTTTGTTTTGGGCTTCGTACCCGTCGTTTTTCATGACATACCTTATGTTGGGTAGAGAAATAAAAAACCCTATTACGTATTCCTGCGCCTGTCTTCTATCATTTTACAACGTGACACCTACCCCACATTTTCATGAATATTCGTATTATGTTAATGAATGTATCCAGAGTATTTTCAGATGTTGTTATCGACAAACGCTGCGAAAAGTACAGCAAATGTAATCATAAAATCATCAGTGTACTGTTTGGATTCAGTCTTGTGTCCAGGTGAACTGTCGTGTCCTCACCTTTGGGTTAAAGATTGGGGGAGGGGAAGCTCATCCTAGATCTGTATTTAGGGGAAACTTTACCCTGGAGCATTATTTTTATGTGTGTTTGAAACACACAAGAGTGGTGAGTTAATTTCAGGGCTGCTTTACTGTAATCTGCCGGTTCTCATTGCATCATACGTCATCACTACACACCAGCAATGTTCAGCAATGAATTTTTTGGGGCACTGAGCAGATTTTAGGTCTTGTGAGCAGAAACTTGAACATTGTGAGAATTTTGTGCAACTTTACAGTGAACACTGAGGCTGTACCCTTACAGTTTTAGACAGTAGCCAATAGGTTATTGTGGCTATTTTGAGCATAATGTAGGCCTACCAAGAAAACCAATGGAGCGAATCCCATAACATTTTCACATGGAAATAGCTTTTGATTTCTATGATATAGCCTACAGTAGCCTATATGTGGTGTTCACTGCAGGCCTACATTGCATGAGACTTTTAAAAATGTTTTTACATTATTTATTTTTTACTTGGTATGTAACACCGTGGGCCAAATAGGTGACTGTAAAGTGCATTGTGTTGTATGATGCAACAAACCACTACAAAATAAAATTTATTATTATTACCATACAGAGAATTTGACAATGTAGACTATCACTCTGCATATTGGCTTATATACATATTCAAACCTGTCTCAAAATACACCACTGCCCCTTTAATTAAGATAAGCTTTTTACCTGACTGGCTTTTCAAAGACCGCTTGAAATGTACCCTACACTTTTTGTGCTCTTGTAGGAAGCAGTAACTACCCATTGCTTACCTATACTTATCTATAACTGGGCTAATAACTTACTAACTAGCAAAGAATATCAACAAATGTGCACTGAGCTGAACTGATCTGAAAAGCGCATTCACTCCCGGGTGATTGAAAGACCGCTCATGGGCTACCCCCGCCAATAGAATTCTACTCCGTTGCGATCTGGCTCTGCCTAAAACAAAAACACAGAGTCAATCTTGCAAAGTTAGATTTGTTGCATTGAAAAGGGGCTGATACAGTTGAAGTCGGAAGTTTACATACACTTAGGTTGGTGTCAGTAAAACTCGTTTTTCAACCACTCCACAAATTTCTTGTTAACAAACTATAGTTTTGGCAAGTCGGTTAGGACATCTACTTTGTGCATGACACAAGTAATTTTTCCAACAATTGTTTACAGACAGATTATTTCACTTATAATTCACTGTATAACAATTCCAGTGGGTCAGAACTTTATATACACTAAGTTAACTGTGCCTTTAAACAGCTTGGAAAATTCCAGAAAATGATGTCATGGCTTTAGAAGATTCTGATAGGCTAATTGACATAATTTGAGTCAATTGGAGGTGTACCTGTGGATGTATTTCAAGGCCTACCTTCAAACTCAGTGCCTCTTTGCTTGACATCATGGGAAAATCAAAAGAAATCAGCAAGACTTCAGAAAAATAATTGTAGAGCGCCACAAGTCTGTTTCATCCTTGGGAGCAATTTCCAAATGCCTGAAGGTACCACGTTCATCTGCACAAACAATAGTACACAAGTATATACACCATGGAACCACGCAGCCGGCATACCGCTCAGGAAGGAGACGCGTTCTGTCTCCTAGAGATGAATGTACTTTGGTGCGAAAAGTGCAAATCAATCCCAGAACAACAGCAAAGGACCTTGTGAAGATGCTGGAGGAAACAGGTACAAAAGCATCTATATCCACAGTAAAACAAGTCCTATATCGACATAACCTGAAAGGCCGCTTAGCAAGGAAGAAGCCACTGCTCCAAAACCGCCATAAAAAAGCCAGACTACAGTTTGCAACTGCACATGGGGACAAAGATCGTACTTTTTGGAGAAATGTCCTCTGGTCTGATGAAACAAAAATAGGACTGTTTGACCATCGTTATGTTTGGAGGAAAAAGGGGGTCGCTTGCAAGCCGAAGAACACCATCCCAACCGTGAAACACGGGGGTGGCAGCATCATGCTGTGGGGGTGCTTTGCTGCAGGAGGGACTGGTGCACTTCACAAAATAGATGGCATCATGAGGAAGGATAATTATGTGGATATATTGAAGCAACATCTCAAGACATCAGTCAGGAAGTTAAAGCTTGGTCGCAAATGGGTCTTCCAAATAGACAATGACCCCAAGCATACTTCCAAAGTTGTGGCAAAATGGCTTAAGGACAACAAAGTCAAGGTATTGGAGTGGCCATCACAATGCCCTGACCTCAATCCTATAGAACATTTGTGGGCAGAACTGAAAAAGCGTGTGTGAGCAAGGAGGCCTACAAACCTGACTCAGTTACACCAGCTCTGTCAGGATGAATGGGCCAAAATTCACCCAACTTATTGTGGGAAGCTTGTGGAAGGCTACCCAAAACGTTTGACCCAAGTTAAACAATGTAAAGGCAATGCTACCAAATACTAATTGAGTGTATGTAAACTTCTGACACACTGGGAATGTAATGAAATAAATAAAAGCTGAAATAAATCACTCTCCTACTATTCTGACATTTCACATTCTTAAAATAAAAGTGGTGATCCTGACTGACCTAAGACAGGGAATTTACTAGGATTAAAGGTCAGGAATTGTGAAAAACTGAGTTTAAATGTATTTGGCTAAGGTGTATGTAAACTTCCGACTTCAACTGTATAATGTTGATTCGATCACAGAAGAAACGTTGATCTAGAGTGCATTCGCAGAGTGTTCAGACCACTTCACTTTTTCCACATTTTGTTACGTTACAGCCTTATTCTAAAATTGAATAAATAAAACATGTTCCTCATCAATCTACACACAATACCCCATAATGACAAAGTGAAAACAGGTTTCTAGAAATTCCTGCAAATTTATTTAAAAAATATAATTATAATAACTTATAAGTAATCAGACCCTTTGCTATGAGACTCGAAATTGAGCTCAGGTGCATGTTTCCATTGAACATCCTTGAGATGTTTCTACAACTTGATTGGAAATCCACCTGTAGTAAATTAAATTGATTGGACATGATTTGGAAAGACACACCTGTCTATATAAGGTCCCACAGTTGACAGTGCATGTCAGAGCAAAAACCAAGCCATGAGGTTGAAGGAATTGTCCATAGAGCTCCGAGACAGGATTGTGTCGAGGCACAGATCTGGGGAAGGGTACCAAAATCTTTCTGCAGCATTGAAGGTTCCCAAGAACACAGTGGCCTCCATCATTCTTAAATGGAAGAAGTTTGGAACCAACAAGACTCTTCCTAGAGCTGGCCACCTGGCCAAACTGAGCAATCGGGGGAGAAGGGTCTTAGTCAGGGAAGTGACCAAGAACCCGATGGTCACTCTGACAGAGCTCCAGAGTTCCTCTGTGGAGATGGGAGAACCTTCCAGAAGAAGAACCATCTCTGCAGCACTCCATCAATCAGGCTTTTATGGCAGAGTGGCCAGACGGAAGCCACTCCTCAGTAAAAGGCACATGACAGCCCACTTGGAGTTTGCCAAAAGGCACCTAAAGGACTCTCAGACCATGCGAAACCAGATTCTCTGGTCTGATGAAACCAAGATTGAACTCTTTGGACTGAATGCCAAGCGTCACATCTGGATGAAACCTGGCGCCATCCCTACGTTGAAGCATGGTGGTGGCAGCATCATGCTGTGGGGATGTTTTTCAGCGGCAGGGACTGGGAGACTTGTCAGGATCGAGAGAAAGATGAACAGAGAAAAGTACAGAGAGATCCTTGATGAAAACCTGCTCCAGAGCGCTCAGGACCTCAGACTGGGGCGAAGGTTCACCTTCCAACAGGACAACGACCCTAAGCACACTGCCAAGACAACGCAGGAGGGGCTTCGGGACAAGTCTCTGAATGTCCTTGAGTGGCCCAGTCAGAGCCCGGACTTGAACCCGATCGAACATCTTTGGAGCGACGCTCCCCATCCATCCTGACAGAGCTTGAGAGGATCTGCAGAGAAGAATTGGAGAAACTCCCAAAATACAGGTGTGCCAAGCTTGTAGCGTCATACCCAAGAAGGCTCAAAGCTGTAATCGCTGCCAAAGGTGCTTCAACAAAGTACTGAGTAAAGGGTCTGAATACTTATGTAAATGTGATATTTCAATTTTTTCTTTTGAATAAGGTATCAAACATTTCTAAAATCCTGTTTTTCCTTTGTCATTATGGGGTATTGTGTGTAGATTGATGAGGGGAAAAAACTATTTAATCTATTTTAGAATAAAGCTGTAACGTAACAAAATGTGGAAAAAGTCAAGGGGTCTGAATACTTTCCGAATGCACTGTATGTATATAGTGCAAACTAATGGGGCAAACTCAGTGAAGTTCAATCTCTTGCATCTCTGCGCAGCATGGCATTTCTTCTGTGCGGCAATCCTAGAGGAAGTGCACTGCCGCATGGCAGATTAATCTGATGTCATGACAGTAAATACACTGGAAATACCAGTCGTTATAAGGGGTGTTAATGGGGATGTTAATGTCAAGGCAACTAATTATAACCATATCATAATGCAATATACCATTCTTAAGTAACGTGCTATTATTTACTTTCTACTTACCAGATGTTTTCTTTTGTTATTACACGTGCAATAAATCACTTGTCTTAACTGAGTGTTAAAGATTTTTATGAATGTTGGACTAGTGTATTGGTATTACTATAGTAATACTACTGAAGAGGAGCAGCATTAAAGGGGTCTTACTTGAAGTAGCAGAGAATGGAGACAGCCACAAGTAGGGATACCAGAGAGATGGAGTAACCAATGGTGTACATCAAGTGTAGCCGCTCAAACACCTCCTAAAAACAGAGAACAAATACACTCAGCAAATGAGCATGTGTGTGTGCGATTGTGCATGCATTTCTCTGCATGTGTGTGTGTGAGTGTGTGTGTGTACGTGCGTGCGTGTGTGCAGGTGAACAGGAAAAAAGTCAAGAACATGCTGTTCACAAATGGCTACGGTCAACTGCTGAAGACCACAGCGGCTGGTGGGTGAGTATCATGATGGACTGATGAATTCCACATAGGGTTTTAATGTGATTCTTTTTTTTTTTATGCATGGAAAAGATTCTCGCCACAATCAAAATGCTTGGTCAACTCAGGGTGACTAATTCATGCATTGTGGTTGACACCTTGATAACTCTTCACTTAAAACAGATAGAGAGGCCTTTGTTCAGGTGAAAATCCCCCCTCAAATCACACACACTGACATTTACATTTGAGTCATTTAGCAGTCACTCTTATACATACACGCTCTTATGCATACATTTTCATACTTTTTTCTTACTGGTCCCCTGTGGGAATCAAACCCACAACCCTGGCATTGCAAGTGCCATGCTCTACCAAGTGATCCACACAGGACCAACACACACACGCGCACAAAGGTGCCCACACACACACAGCACAGCCACACACACACCACACCACACCACACACACACACCTCCTCCTGGCTTCTATGACTGGACAACAGATAGGTGGTACACTCAGTGTAGTTGGCCCAGGTGCGGTTGATGCTAGGCACCTGCTCCCAGTTCCCTGAGGCATCACACTGACGATAGGCCTGACCTGGAGGATGGGGAGAAGAGGTATAACATCAGCATTAGTACAATGGCCTTAAAGGGGCAAAACAGAGCGTTTGCCTCAGGAGGGGGCTCTTGAGCCAAAAGGGGTCCCTTAAATGCGCAGAAATATAACTAAAAAGACCCACCTCCCCAAGCCCATGAGCAAAAACATACACTGAGTGTACAAACATTAGGAACACCTTCGTAATATTGAGTTGCACCACCTTTTGCCGTCAGAACAGCCTCAATTCATCGGGGCATGGACTCTACAAGGTGTCGAAAGCATTCCACAGGGATGCTGGCCCATGTTGACTCCAATGCTTCACACAGTTGTGTCAAGTTGGCTGGATGTCCTTTGGGTGGCGGATCATTCTTGATACAAATGGGAAATTGTTGAGCGGGAAAACCCCAGCAGTGTTGCAGTTCTTGACACACTCAAACCGGTGTGTCTGGCACCTAATACCATACCCTGTTCAAAGGCACTTAAATATTTTGTTTAGCCCATTCACCCTCTGAAAGGCACACATACACAATCCATGTCTCAATGGTCTCAAGGCTTAAACATTATTCTTTAACCTGTCTCCTTCTATTTAACAGGTGACATCAATAAAGGGTCATAGCTTTCACCTTGATTCATCTGGTCAGTGTATGTCATAGAAAGAGCAGGTGTTCCTAATGTAGACTGAAACTGAGGATTGTGTGCTTTTGTTGTATCATATGTGTATGAACCATACAGACAACATTCAAGCCAGAATTTGATATTAACAAGTACTGTAGCAACTAAATTTCCATAGTGTATATTTAAAGGCTGATACTTGTTACATCTAATGCAATGTGGTGTTAGACTCCTTATGATATAGCTTGAGACTGTCGTAAACACATGAACAAACTGGAGCCTGCAGATGTCTGCAAGTACTGTGCAAAAAGAGTACTTAATTTGGGACTGGTAAACCGCATAAACTGAATTTGCATTTCGCAATGTGCATTTATAAGGAATCGATATTAGAAGTTTGGATGAAAGGGTCAGTGTCCCAGCTTGCAAGCCGTGAGGCTGCTGGTTTTGTTTGGTGGCTATGAGCCTTTTAAAATGATAAACCTAGATTAGCAAACACAACGTGCCATAGGAACACAGGACTGATGGTTGCTGATAATGGGCCTCTGTACGCCTATGTAGATTTCCATAAAAAATGTGCCGTTTCCAGCTACAATAGCCATTTACAACATTAACAATGTCTACACTGTATTTCTGATCAATTTGATGTTATTTTAATGGACAATTTTTTTTATTTTCTTTCGAAAAAAATGACATTTCTAAGTGACGCCAAACTTTTGAACGATAGTGTACATTCAACACCTAGGCATATACGCTGATTTCTCACATAGATGCACATCATTCATTCAGGTTACAGACCATGTAACTAGGCCTATGACCCCTAGACCAAGTGAGTGCAACAATATCCGTAGGCTAGTTATTGGTTCCGTAAAACCTGAAGACCAGTGTCTGCTGGTAAACACAATCTATCACTGACCTGTCATGATTATGTAAGTGATCGATGTATGTGGCCAACATACTGTATTTCCTTCTACTGTATGTGGTTTGTCCATTAGTGTATTTAAAAATAACAAAGCAGCTATTGAGCTTTAAATTAGTGATCTTGTCATGAGCCAGCCCACCTCTGTGGTTGAAGTCGTAGATGTACTCTGGACATAGCACCGAGACCAGCTGACTAGGCTTCCCTCTGGGCCAGCAGATAATCCCATCCCACTCTGGTACACAGTCACCTTCTGCAAATATACAACAGCACAGATGGCCATTTTGTATGAGTCATTGTGCTCTTACTTTAAAATCAGTAGAAAATTCACCCAACATTTCATTTCATGATATACAGCGCATTCGGAAATATTCACACCCCTTGACTTTTTCCATATTTTGTTACGTTAAAACCTTATTCTAAAATTGCTTAAATTGTTTTTTTCTCCCTCATCAATCTACACACAATACCCCATAATGACAAAGCAAAATTTGAGCAAATTTATAAAAAAATGAAAACGGAAATATCACATTTACATAAGTATTCAGACCCTTTACTCATTACTTTGTTGAAGCACCTTTGGAAGCGATTACAGCCTCGAGTCTTCTTGGGTATTACGCTACAAGCTTGGCATACCTCACTTGTATTTGGGGAGTTTCTCCAATTGTTCTCTGCAGATCCTATCAGGCTCTGTCAGGTTGGATGGGGAGCGTCGCTGTACAGTTATTTTCAGGTCTCTACAGAGATGTTAGATCGGGTTCAAGTCCGAGCTCTGGCTGGGCCACTCAAGGACATTCAGAGACTTGTCCAGAAGCCAGGGTCATTGTCCTGTTGGAAGGTGAACCTTCGCCCCAGTCTGAGGTCTTGAGCGCTCTGGAGCAGGTTTTCATCAAGGATCTCTATGTACTTTGCTCCGTTCATCTTTCCCTCGATCCTGACTAGTCTTCCAGTCCCTGCCGCTGAAAAACATCCCCACAGCATGATGCTGCCACCACCATGCTTCAACGTAGGGATGGCGCCAGGTTTCGTCCAGATGTGACGCTTGGCATTCAGTCCAAAGAGTTCAATCTTGGTTTCATCAGACCGGAGAATCTTGTATCTCATGGTCTGAGAGTCCTTTAGATGCCTTTTGGCAAACTCCAAGTGGGCTGTCATGTGCTTTTTAATAAGGAGTAGCTTCCGTCTGGCCACTCTACCATAAAGGCCTGATTAGTGGAGTGCTGCAGAGATGGTTGTCCTTCTGGAAGGTTCTCCCATCTCCACAGAGGAACTCTGGAGCTCTGTCAGAGTGACCATTGTGTTCTTGGTCACCTCCCTGACCAAGGCCCTTCTCCCCCGATTGCTCAGTTTGGCCGGACGGCCAACTCTAGGAAGTGTCTTGGTGGTTCCAAACTTTTTCCATTTAAGAATGATGGAGGCCACTGTGTTCTTGGGGACCTTCAATGCTGCAAAAAGTTTTTGGTACCCTTCCCCAGATCTATGCCTCGACACAATCCTGTCTCGGCGCTCTACAGACAATTCCTTCAACCTCATGGCTTGGTTTTTGCTCTGAAATGCACTGTCAACTGTGGGACCTTATATAGATAACTGTGTTCCAATCAATGGAATTTACCACAGGTGGACTCCAATCAAGTTGTAGAAACATCACAAGGATGAGCAATGGAAACAGGATGCACCTGAGCTCAATTTCGAGTCTCATAGCAAAGGTTCTGAATACTTATGTAAATAAGGTATTTCTGTATTTTATTGGTAATAAATTTGCAAACATTTCTAAAAACCTGTTTTCACTTTATAATTATGGGGTATTGTGTGTAGATTGATGAGGATTATTTTTTAAAAATCCATTTTAGAATAAGGCTGTAACGTAACAAAATGTGGAAAAAGTCAAGGGGTCTGAACACTTTCCGAATGCACTGTATCTCAGATGATACAGTACATCTGTAATTAAATTCCTAACAGAGGGCCATTAACAATCTGTATCAAGACACTGCATCATAACTCTACGTCAAGACGGTGAGTCGAGCTGGTTTTCCTATCATTCATTTCACATCTAACCTTCTGTTACCATGGAAATACTTCTCTCCAGGATATTGGATTGAAATGGCTTTTGACTGTACTTGAACAGGAGGAAGTGACAAACAATCTTCTTTGTAATCAATTACACTATCACTTTATCCTATATTGGACTGTGGTTGACACAAGACAAGCTGATTTGACACTTTAACAAATCATTCATAATCTGGACAACCACTGCACCAGAAACCTTTTCTGGACCTTGATTTTCAGTTGGGTGCATAACTAAAGCCAAAGGGGATCCCTATGAAATCATAAAAAAGTATAGGCTATGTCCTGTAACAGTGTTTCCCAAACCTCTCCTCCAGTACATCCAGACTTCCCATGTATTTGATGTATTCTAGAAGCACACCTAGATTTGGCAATCACTGTCCTATAACTTGTGATGTGGTTATAGTTAACACACCTTTGACTATGGCCAGCTGTGAATGGATTATCCTCTCACACTTGGCACGGGGACCAATCAGGAGGTAAATCTGCTCGTCTCGCGTGATGACATCATCAGAGTCTATCTATGGTAGAGGGGCAGAAGAAGAAGACAGAGAAGAAGAAGAAGAAGATTATACTATAACATCAGGTGAAGACCGATGACTTGACACCAACGTGACACATGCCATGATTTAGGCGAGACAGTTGGCTAGCAGCCAGCATATCAACAATCAATGGTCAGACTGTCCACTGCTGCGTGTGACTTGACATAAAAAAAGTTGTTTGTCTCAAATTATGCGGCTCTAATGACAGCTGTCATGTCGTGTTCATGAATCATTGCATTATGTAGTGTTTGTTTAACAATTAGGGTTACGTGTGCAGACAGGGCAACATTTGTTTTATCCTTCAGGTGTGAAGCCACAGGTCTATCTACTTCTTATCTTACCCTTTGTCTGATCATGCCCTTACGTCCAAAACCTTCACCAATGAAATCTGAGGGACAATTAACCCCTCAGTCCTAGCCTGGAATTCCAAACTGAATTGCTCTGTTTCACTGTTGTTTTACTTTACCGATTCAGTATGGCCATCTTTTCATTAAAACTGTGTGTGCCTGTAATGAGCGGCATTGTTCAAAACTAATTTGTCAGCAATTAGATCACCTTTAACCAATCAGAAGACAATCTAATCCAAAGCTTTTGGACCCCTGGAAGAGCAGCTGTTGCGATAGATTATTGGTTTATTTTCATCCCCATTAGCTTTTGCAGAAGCAGCAGCTACTCTGCCTGGGGTCCACAAAAACACAAAACATGACAAGTAACAAAACACTGATGCACTAATAGACAAGGAAAGTCACACAAATGCAAAATATATAACTATATACAAACAATGCAACTCAAAAATAATACAAACAATACAACACAGAAAAATGTGTGTGTTAGTGTCTGTGTGTGCGTGTGCGTGTGTTTATGTGTGTGTCCCCTCACAGTCCCCACCGTTCCATGTGTTGTTTTTCTATCCGTTTTTTTTAAAGGTAATTTTGCTGTTTCTTGAGTAATTGGAGATGGAAGGGAGTTCCATGCGATCATGGTTCTGTATAAAACTGTGCGTTGCCGTGAATTCGTTTTGGACTTGGGGACTGTGAAGAAACTCCTGGTGGCATGTCTTGTGAAGTATGTATGGGTGTCTGAGCTGAATGTTATTTGACTATGCAGACAATCTGGAATTTTCATCACAGTGATATTTCTCATAAAAACTAGAAGAGAAGCAGTTAATCTCTCATCAACCCTCAACCAGGAAAGACTGGCATGCATGTTGTTGATGTTAGTTATGTATGTGCAGTTAAGGGCAAGGCGTGCTGCTCTGTTTTGAGCCAGCTGCAGCTTTGCTAGGTCTTTCTTTGCTGCAGTTGACCATATTACCAGACAGTAATCAAGATGGGACAAGACCAGAGCCTGAATAACTAGTACAGTTGATTTTTGTGTAAAAGATGCAGAACATATTTTTATAACAGACATACCCCTCCCCATCTTCACAACAATTTTGTCAATATGACTTGCCCATGATAATTGACCAGCCAATGCTATAGTAAACTCTAATGGGGATCCAAATAAACAAATAAACTCAGCATTTGGGTTTTCTTGCTAAAGCTATCTATAGGTCATGAGATCTGTCTATTAGAGCAAGGCCAGACTGATCAGTGAAGTGAAATGAAGGCTGGAGCATTTCCGTTTGGATGCCCAGGATATCACAGTCCCCTAGAAGTACACTGAATTTGACCAATACAATCCCCCCAAGTCTTAGATGGGTTGAGACAAGAGATTTCATTGGGTTTGTTTGAAGGTGTCCTAATTGCAATCGTCTCTTGTCTGTGTCCTGGTAGAGGCGATTTGTCACCTTTGGACAAAATTAGCTAACACTCCAGAGCAGGGTTCTAAATTAAAAATATTCATTGGTAGTACTGGTGCTCCCAACTGTCACGATCGTCTTGAAGAGAAGTAGACCAATGCGCAGCGTGTTGAACGAACATGGCGAACTTTATTATCTTAAGTGATAATATACACAATAAACAAAACAAGAAACGACTCGTGAAGTCCACGGTGACAATGACCGAACACGGAACAAAAACCCACAAACACAAAGTGAAAAACAGACAGTTAAATATGGCTCCCAATCAGAGACAACAAGCCAACAGCTGACACTCGTTGCCTCCGACTGGGAGTCACTAAGGCAAACATAGAAAACGACAAACTAGAACCCCCAACATAGAAATAAACCACATAGAATGAACACACCCTGGCTCAACATATAGAGTCCCAGAGCCAGGGTGTGACAGTACCCCCCCCCTAAAGGCGCGGACTGCGACCGCGCCTCAATAAGAGCAAAACAGGGGAGGGCTGGGTGGGCATACCTCCTCGGCGGCGGTTCTGGCTCCGGCCTTGCCCACCACCCTCCAATAATCCCCCCATAGCGCCCCTGGTCCGGTCTGGCCCCGCTGGCAGGAGCTGACCTGAACGTAGCAGGAACGGCTAGCTTCAGCTCCGTTGTGGAGCAGTTGAGCGGTACCCGATTTGGCACCGATGACCCAGGCACGGGTTGTGCCGGACTGACGACGCGCACCCCTGGCTTGGTGCGTGAGGCCGGAACGGACCGGACCGGGCTGACGACTCGCACCCCTGGCTTGGTGCGTGGAGCAGCAACGGGCCGGACCGGGCTGACGATGCGCACCCCTGGCTTGGTGCGTGGAGCCGGAATGGGCTTACCAGGGCTGACGACTCGCACCCCTGGCTTGGTGCGAGTAGCAGGAACGGGCTGGACCAGGCTGACGACTCGCACCCCTGGCTTGGTGCGAGTAGCAGGAACGTTCTGGACCAGGCTGACGACTCGCACCCCTGGCTTGGTGCGAGTGGCAGGAACAGGCCGGGCCGGGCTGGCGACTCGCACCCCTGGCTTGGTGCGAGTGGCAGGAACAGGCTGCGCCGGGCTGGCGTCGCGCACCGTAGGCTTGGTGCGAGTGGCAGGAACAGGCCGGACTGGGCTGGCGACGCACCCCGTAGGCTTGGTGCGTGGAGCAGGGACAGGCCGGGCTGGGCTGGCGACGCACACCGTAGGCTTGGTGCGTGGAGCAGGGACAGGCCGAACCGGGCTGTGGAGACGGATAGGAGCCCTGGAGTGAAGAGCGGCCACAACCCGTCCTGGCTGAATGCCTACCCTCACACACTCTGTGTGAGGCATCCGCACAGGACGTACAGGGCGGTGTATCCGTAACCTGGTGGCCTCCAGAATCCGCCCCTCCTTTGCCTCCGTCAGCCCCGTCGTCCATGCCGTGTGCCCCCCCCTAAAACATTTTTGGGGTTGCCTCTCGTCAGTCTCACTCCATGGCCGGCGATCCTCCCATGTCCAGTCTGCCTGCTCCTGGACACGCTGCTTGGTCCTAGTATGGTGGGTTTTTCTGTCACGATCGTCTTGAAGAGAAGTAGACCAATGCGCAGCGTGTTGAACGAACATGGAGAACTTTATTATCTTAAGTGATAATATACACAATAAACAAAACAAGAAACGACTCGTGAAGTCCACGGTGACAATGACCGAACACGGAACAAAAACCCACAAACACAAAGTGAAAAACAGACAGTTAAATATGGCTCCCAATCAGAGACAACAAGCCAACAGCTGACACTCGTTGCCTCCGACTGGGAGTCACTAAGGCAAACATAGAAAACGACAAACTAGAACCCCCAACATAGAAATAAACCACATAGAATGAACACACCCTGGCTCAACATATAGAGTCCCAGAGCCAGGGTGTGACACCAACTTAATAAAGTTAGGAGCGCAACATGAAATTTAGGAGCACCAGAAAATACGATTTTTTAAATTGATTGAAATACTGTATACAGTAAATGGACGCGCAATGACAGAGCGGCATGGACTAAGATACAGTAGAATATTATAGAATACAGTATATACATATGAGATGAGTAATGCAAGATATGTAAACATTATTAAAGTGACTAATGTTCAATTTCTTAAAGTGGCCAGTGATTTCTAGTTTATGTCTATAGGCAGCAGCCTCTAATGTGCTAGTGATGGCTATTTAACAGTATTTCAATCAATTAAAAAAATATTATTTTCTGGTGCTCCTAAATTTCATGTTGTGCTCCTAACTTTATTAAGTTGGGAGCACCAGTACTACCAATGAACATTTTTAGTACAGAACCAAAATAACAAAAGAATGGTCACTGTCCAATGAATTATGGAGCTCACTGTATGTATATATTCTTAATTCCATTCCTTACTTAGATTGTGTGTATTGGGTATATGTTGTGAAATTGTTAGATATTACTTGTTAGATATTACTGCAATGTCGGAGCTAGAAGCACAAGCATTTCGCTACACATCTGCTAAACACGTGTATGTGAAAAATAAAATTTGATTTGATTTGATTTACAGCCTACACTACCATTCAAAAGTTTGGGGTCACTTAGAAATGTCCTTGTTTTCGAAAGAAAATACATTTTTTGGTCCATTAAAATGACATCAAATTGATCAGAAATACAGTGTAGACATTGTTAATGTTGTAAATGGCTATTGTAGCTGGAAACGGCTGATTTTTTATGGAATATCTACATAGGCGTACAGAGGCCCATTATCAGCAACCATCAGTCCTGTTTTCCAATGGTACGTTGTGTTTGCTAATCCAAGTTTATCATTTTAAAAGGCTAATTGATCATTAGAAAACCCTTTTGCAATTATGTTAACACAGCTGAAAACTGTTTAGCTGATTAAAGAAGCAATAAAACGGGCCTTCTTGAGACTAGTTGAGTATCTGGAGCATCAGCAATTGTGGGTTCGATTACAGGATCAAAATGGCCAGAAACAAAGAACTTTCTTCTGAAACTCATCAGTCTATTCTTGTTCTGAGAAATGAAGGCTATTCCATGCGAGAAATTGCCAAGAAACTGAAGATCTCATACAACGCTGTGTACTACTCCCTTCACAGAACAGCGCAAACTGGCTCTAACCAGAATAGAAAGAGGAGTGGGAGGCCCCGGTGCACAACTGAGCAAGAGGACAAATACATTAGAGTGTCTAGTTTGTGAAACAGATGCCTCACAGGTCCTCAACTGGAAGCTTCATTAAATAGTACCCGCAAAACACCAGTCTCAATGTCAACAGTGAAGAGGTGACTCCGGGATGCTGACCTAGACAGAGTTGCAAAGAAAAAGCCATATCTCAGACTGGGCAAAAGAACACAGACTCCAGACTTTTTCTTTGCAACTCTGCCTAGGTCAGCATCCCGGAGTCGCCTCTTCACTGTTGATGTTGAGACTTGTGTTTTGCGGGTACTACAAACTTTTGAACGGTAGTGTATATTAGGCCTATATGAATTCTAGCTACTTTTGAAGCACATGTTTTGACCTAGAAACTAATATGTAACACTGTAAACACGTTCGTTTATTA